GTCAACTTGGCGTCCACCTTCACACCAAGGAGGGTGATGGTAGTTGTCTCGGGCACCAGTGTGCCACCAAACAGGAGTGGGGGGAGATCTAAGCCGGTGCGTCTGAGGGTGGCTGTCATGGCCTGGGATTTGGTCGGTTCAAACATCACTTTCTATGTACGACCCCACTCGTGCAGTCGGTCAACGGACACCTGCAGTGACTGCGCGGCGACTGTCGGGGTCTGCTGGGAGGTGACTAAGCTGTACAAAGTTGTATCATCAGCATAGGCTTCCAAGCTGGCGCCGTCAGCGAGAACATCTGGCGCGTCGTTGACGTAGGCCAGGAAAAGCGTTGGTCCAAGGATGCTTCCCTGGGGGACTCCAGCGGAGGTCGTATACCTAGATGACGTCCGCCCTCCAACGAGGCACTGTAGGGAACGGGTGTCCAGGTACGACGCCAGCCATCTCTGAAGCGGACCATCTATGCCTAGGCTACGTACCTTGTGGAGGAGGCCGACATGCGAGACACGATAAAACGCTCCTGCGATGTCCACAGCAAGGATACGAGCCGCCCCTCCACAGCCCACAGCGCTTGCCCAGGCAGTTTGGAGAGCTTGCAAAGCGTCCGATGTTCCGAGGCCTATGCGAAATCCAAACTGGTGCGACGTGAGCAGATGATGGTCTTCAAAATAGTTTACGATGTGTCTGTTTACAAGAGTTTCCATTACTTTCGAGATTATGCACAGTAAGGATACGGGCCTGTAGTTCTTAAGGGTTGAGCGGGAAGACCGCTTGTGGATCGGAACCACGTTGGCCGTCTTCCACATCCTAGGTTGCACTCCAGACCGGAAGCATAAAGCAAATAACTTGGACAGTGGCTCTGCGAGCTCATGAGCACATTCCTTAAGGACGCGAGCAGAAATACGGTCAGGCCCGGTAGCCTTGGAGACGTCGAGCCTTGCCAGGAGGCGGCGTACAGCCTGTGGGCGGAAGCGGATGGTGCGAAGAGGTGGAGCCTCTGAGGGAGCAGGGTCCGGTAGGTCAGCCTCCACAAGGTCCGGACCGGCAACGCTACATTTCTTCGAGAAGAAGCGAGCGAATGCCTCTGCTTTCTCTGAGCTCGTTGCCCACTCGCGGCCGTCAGAGTCGACAACTAGGGGAATTTCGGGCTGTGTGCGGTTGCCAGCAGCGTTCTTCAACTTCGTCCACCACTGTTTGTCTCTGAGGGACCCAGTTGAGAGGCTGCGACGGAGGCTGTCCTCCTTTGCACGTCGTGATCGGAACTGGGTGGCGATCGCTACAGTCACGGAATCGGTGAATGCCTGCTGAAGTGCTGGGTCATAAGGGTGTTTTCTCCAGTCGCGCCAGCGCTTCTCCTTCTCCCTCTCGGTCTGGGTGCATTCAGGCGTCCACCATACCGGATCGGAAGGCCTCGTTTCCAGGACTTTGGATGGGACAAACTGTGCAACAGCTGCAGTAATCGAAGCGGTAACCTGCTCACAGGAAGTTTCTGGGTCCTCCGTGATGATATCACCCCATTCCACGTTGCGAAGGTGCGCCCTGAGGCGATCCCAGTCTGCCCTGTTGTAGCGAAATACTGTTCGCTTAACAGGGGGTTCATGTCTAGGGAGCACGGAAGAAAAGTCTGACAATACAACTGCATGGTCAGATCGACCGAGGGGCGGAAGTATACGTGTAGTTACTGGGGACGTGAACGTTGACATTATGAGATCTAGCGGGTTGTCTCCACGAGTCGGTACTGTGACATGCTGGACAAGAAGATGGGCAGCGCAGGTATCTTCGAGAGCCTCGCCTGCAGGCGTAGTTTTCGAGCTGTTCAGCCAAGCCCGGTTGTGCACGTTGAAATCGCCAGCTAGGATGATGTGGGAGCCCTGGTGTCTAGCTTCTGGGAGGATGTTGTCGAGATGATCGATTAAGGTAAGATCGCCAGGGGCACAGGACCCCGGCCGATACACTGCTCCCAAGACGGTGCGGAGATCTGGGGCCAGCTGGAGAGAAACCCAGATGATCTCATGTGCGGGGGACATGAGTTCAGGGATGAGCATGGAGGGGAGTGACGACTTCACCCAGATGGCTACCCCTCCCCCATGTGCCGTTCTGTCCAACCGAAGTGGTGAGCTGTATCCAGGGAAGCTAATGTCAGAGGGAAGCACTTTCTCCGCAGTGAACTTCGTTTCTGTCACAATTGCTACGTCGGGCTGATGCTGCAGGAGTGCGTGCTGTAGGTCGGGAAGTTTGCTGGCTAGGCCGAAAGCGTTTGTGCAGAGAATGCGAAGATGCTTGCTACCCTTCATTGCAGGAGGAAGTAATTAAAAAAGGGGAGGGACATTTGACGTAAGCGGGTGCATAGTTACATGTATGGCTAAGGGTCCTAAAATCTAATGAAATACCTAAAAGGATCAAGCTAAAGATAAGAATGAGGAAGCTGGAGGAAGACACGAGGTTGAAGTAGGACAGGGAAAACCAGATTGTGTTTGTATACCTAGGGCTACACAGGGGGAGAAGATGTTATCTGCGCCAAGTTAAATGCTTATTGCTTGACGCAGTGATCTTTTTCGCCTTCTTCTTCCTCTGGTTATCACTAGAAACTACCAATGGGGAGGTCGACTCCCGCGGCCTCTTGTGGAAGCAGTCTGCCAATATCGCCAATGCTCTAGCCTCATCGCCCCCTGAGAGTTTCCCCTCAGGTGGACAGTCCGACTCCTCGGCCCAGCTGCTGTCAGGAGACAGAGTCAGGTCAAGTTCCACGTGGTTGCTTTGTTTATCATGCTCAGGTCGCATTTTGACAGTTACGGCAGAAGCTGAGTCTTGACTGCCATGTGTACCCGTGCCCTCCTCCAGGGGTCTCGAACATCATCTCTGATAAACATGGAATGCAGACTCCAACAGGGTTTTGAAGAAAGAACTTTACTTTGTAAGGTGTGATCTACGCTTTCCCAAAAATAGGGAAAATCGTATACATGTACATGTAGGATTTGACAGACAAAGAGATAATTATTATCAATTGCATGGTCATCAGGGTGCACTCTAGTAAATCGGAGAATGGATGCCAGAGTTACGAACTTTTTAGAGGTTTGTTTTCAGTAAAAATGAGCCATTTTCGCTGGTCGTCAGTGGACAAGTGGCAGTAGATCTACCCTGCAGTGGTAAAAGGGTTAATGTAGTCAAAAACTGAGCCAGACATTCAAGCAGAACTCCGCTTGGTGGTCCTAACACAAAACGACGTACAGCAAACATTAGGTGATCGCCTACACGTACGCAATTTAATGTTGCAGTACGGCACGCTAACCATATTTGTGAAACTGAAAAGGGGCTGGAGCAAACCAGGAGTGGTGATAGAAACCAGGGAGCTATGGTAGAAACCAGGGAGTTAGGACAGAAACCAGGGGGAGCCATGGCAGAAACCAGGGAGTTAGGATAGAAACCAGGGAACTCAGATGGTGAGCCAAGGAGAGCATTTGTAACATGGAAATGGTGGGCAATTTCCATGTTATAAACCCGGGAGTTAGGATAGAAACCAGGGAGCCATGGCAGAAATCAGGGAGTTATGATAGAAACCAGGGAGTAGCCCTTTCCCAAAGGTGCTCGCCCTGTTTTCGCCCTTTACGTTTTTAACCCTTTTTGGAAAAGCCCGTTTCTTTCGCCCTTTACTGCGTTTTTTGGTGAATAGATATCCTTAGCTAAAAAAACGCTAACGTAAACGCAAACCTTTCCGTACTTCGGATCGTTCAAGCTGACTTTTCCCTTAGCACAAAGTACGTTATAGTTGAGACGAAGTAGTCGTGACAACCATGGCGATATGAATTTTCGTGGAAACATATGCGAGAAATTCAAAATTTTGAACCAGGGATTAGTTTGCTGTCGTTCCGAAAGAATACCTTGGCGAGGTCTTTTACTCTGGAATAGCAAAAGCACGGCGAAAATGAGTTTTCGCTGTTCCCAGGTCCTTGGAAACCCTTTCCTAAACGCAGCACCGAAGACTGTAAGGGTTCTCCAGCTCCAGCACGTCTGGGAGAGGCCGATGAATTTCTTCCTCAGGAGTGCCGTGGAACTGGTCCTTTGTTTCCAAGATGGGATAGAGGGGAAAGGCACGAAGCAGGGGACGCAGAAATTGTCAACTGAAAGGCAAAACTCGCCAAAAAAGCTAAATGTCACAAGAGGAAGCAATCTCGACTCTCGATCTCATGTCGATCTGCACGACGTGCTTTTCATCTCCCGCCAGTTACAAAACAATGCGAGTTTTTGCATTTTTTGCAGAATTTCCATAACGAACGTCGGCCCGTTATTTTGAGCTCTGTAACGTTTTTCCGTTATCCGATAACGTCTTTTGTCACGGCTGGGAGTGAGTACCGTAAAGGTTAGCGTTATCGTACTTTTGCTAAGGATGTCTATTATCGACCTTTTTGAGCTTTTTGAGCTGAGAAAGTGCTAAAATCTGTTTGCTCATGCTGCATGCGATCACAGTTTCCGAGTGCTCGATGGGCCTTGGCACGCCGCTGTTTTGGGGGCAACAAGTTGGTGAAGCATGTACACAATGCTGTAAAAAGTGGGTTTTTTGAACTTTACTTCCTGTTTTGCCTTTCGTGGACCCATAAATGGAAGAGTGCGTATTCATTTCTCAGCTTGGGTTCATATCTGAAAATGTATCATAGCTATGCTTCGCTGAAAAAAGAGCTCTTTTTCAGCATATTTTGAGGGACGCGAAAAGCACTAAGTGCGAATTAAAAGAGCACCTTTGGGAAAGGGCTACCAGGGCGCCATTGCAGAAACTAGCGAGTTATGATAGAAACCAGGGAGCCATTGCAGAAACTAGGGAGTTATGATAGAAACCAGGGAGCCATGGCAGAAACCAGGGAGTTAAGATAGAAACCAGGGAGCCAGGGCAGAAACTAGGGAGTTATGATAGAAACCAGGGAGCCAGGGCAGAAACTAGGGAGTTATGATAGAAACCAGGGAGCAATGGTAGAAACATTGCACACAAGTTCACAATGACGGGAAACTCTGTGTTTGTTGTAACTCTGAGTTCCATGCCGAGTGGGACAACCATCAGAAAACAAAGTAGATTCTGATAAGACTAGATCTACCCAGGAGCATATATAGTGGAGGTGTGTGGGAAAGTACAACTGTGATGTGCAAAGCACATGTGAAGTCGTTTCTATTTGTTCTCCAACTGTTTTCCAGTAGGGCTGTGTTAATTAAGAGTAAAATATAGGAAAAAAGAAAAGCAAACGGTGGTTCAATGGTGGTTCATTCCACCTGAGAATGCCTTGGAATGCAATGGATCAAGAAAGCTTCAGCGAAGCTGTCATCATACCACGGTTCGGCCAAGGATCTAATGGATTCTAATCACTGCCAACAGCGAGAAAAAAACCCCTGGGGGTCGATATAGAAACGGCGCTTGAAAATGCATGTCACTCAGCAGGTCCAGAATGGAAATCATCAGCTTATGCATGGCGTACAAAGTATTGTGTGTTACCCTGATAGAACGGACTCAAATTTACTTCTTTAACGGACAAGTTGGAAAGAGCAGCTTGGAAGCATTAGCTATCTAGCCATGGAAACGAGACTAAGCATAGAACAATGAGCGAATAAGCACAAACACACAAACATGAACACACAAACACACACGAAAACGCACACACACACACACACACATCGTGCACGCACACACACGCACGCGCACCGAGTCCTGCAGTCGGTAGAGCTGGCAAGGACTGACCACTCTACATCTTACATCACACATTTATCGTCATCTGTCCCTTCTGGCCACAGTCATAGGCATTACTGGTCGGCGACGGAGACAAAGATCCTGGTGACATCTGGCCTCCATCATTGGTGACTACGGGCAGCATGCGACTGTGATAGACAATGCGTGGCCGACCTGCTCCAACCAGAATGTTAACGTGCAGGCTGGTGATGACCAGCAGATAGCCACCCATGGCAGCCAGCAGGTGCCAGAAAGCGTGCAGCTGCGTGAAAACCCCCAGCACCGGGCCCAGCCCTAGACGCCATTCCTCCACCGTCGGGCAGTGGCTGTTCTCGTACGCCCACAGAGTGAAGCCGAGAGCGTACGACCCGAGGGCCGAGTAGCCGAGGAAACGAGACTCGGCGTTGCCGTAGCGATACATGGCCACGGTGCCAAGAATCACGAGCGCCGTGGTGTATATCGTGTAGCAGGAGAAGAAGATGATCGGGTCGCGGCGCACGACGTACGCAATGGACACCACCGTGGTAAGGGAGAACAACGCGATGGCAAATACTGTGTTGGGCGCCTGCAGGCGACGTAGAACAAGAGCATGCATGTAACATGTACATGCACACACGAGTACATGCACATACACACACACACACACACACACACACACACACACACACACACACACACACACACACACACACACACACACACACACACACATACACACATACACACGCATGCACACACACACATACATAAACACACACACACACATATGCACACACACACACACGCACACATACGCACCAAAATACGTCCAAACGAGTGTACACACCCAGCCCGTTTTGCCGTTTTTTTCTGATGCATTGAACAGTAATCATGCCGGTAACGACACGTGTCGCCTGGCGATACGGCGGTAAACACATGTCTGCTCATACAAGCTCTCTAAGAAATGGCGGACCACCCACCCAAGCGACGATATACGCCGACATTTGTCGAATTCTCCAGCTTGTACTTGTTATGTTATGACGTAATGCCGTACAACTTTAGCTCTACTGTGTATGCACGCACGCATATCTTTGAAGGTCTTCTCTGTCGTTTACAGATTGAATCTTGTCAGTTTTTCTGCTTCGTATATTCTAACCAATAAACTACTTGTCTCTTGTCTACCGAACCTAACATGGCGCAGTGAACTACTAGTAACCTGAGTACGGAATATTTGACAGCCTGTAGTTGTCCGTGAATTCTGTAGCCTTTTATCTTCAAACGATCGATCGTGTAGCAGAAGTGTCTTGTAGTTGTAGAATTTGTAGAATTGTCGTGATGGCGGAACCTGGAATTTCCCCAATCAGTGCTGAAATAGTATCCCTGCTCGCCTTGATGCAGCAGCAGATGAAAGCGGCTGAGGCACGCGAGACTCGCCTCACCACACTGGTCGAAAACGCAACGCGCGACAACCAAGCACCACCCAGCACTTCGACATCCTGCAGTCAGAAGCCGATTTCTGTCGAGCGACCGGTGTTGCTCAGCACTGCAACCATGGCCGATTTCACGGCATGGGAGGAGGCTTGGAGAGATTATGCTGTGTGCCAGCACCTCGCCAGCCAAAGTCGTGAGACTCGGGTGTCCGCTCTTCGCCAGGCGTTCGATGCCGACATTCGTCGTTTCATGCGCGAAGATGTGATTGTCATCTCCCACAGTGCCGATGCTCCGGAGATCATCATAGCAGTAAAAGCGTACATCCGACGCCAACGGAACCCCCTCCTAGATCGAATTGCGTTTTACGATAGAAAGCAGCAGCGCAATGAGTCATTTGACTCCTTTACTGCAATGAGGGAGCTGTTTGCACAGTGCGATTTCCCTGATATGGAGCTGTGCAGTACGTGTACACCTCAGCTATGCAGTACTTGTCCCCAGAGCCTCCGCAAGGTGACGGACGACATGATGCGAGACCGCATCGTAGTTGGCATAGCCAACGACGACACGCGCCATAAGCTCCTGGCAGCTCCGTCCCTCACCCTGGAAACCGCGGCCAAGATCTGCAGGGCTGAAGAAGCCGCACAGCAGACCGGTGACGGCATGGTACCGGCATCCGTGAATGCCGCAACAAGGTCATCGTATCAACGCAGCAAATCCGCTTTGGTTAGTAAGCCGAAATCTGCTGCAGCTGACAAGCCGGCGAAGTGCTCGCAGTGCGGACGATCCCAGCACACGAAGTCAATGTGTCCTGCCAAGGGCAAAGAGTGCCGTAAGTGTAAGGGCAGGGACCACTTCGCGGCAATGTGCCGCAAGACCATCGCATGCCTCACCATTCACGCAGTGCAGGCTGGTGACAAAGTGATGCTGTCAACACGTCTTGACGACAACGACCGGTCGTGCACGTTAGAGTGGTTGCCAGATACTGGCTCGGATGTTGATGCTATTGGTGCTAGTCATCTCCGCAGACTTGGTGGCAGTGTAGCTGATCTGGAACCTGACCCCGACCATGTTGTCGCCGTGAACGGTCAGCCATTGACCAGCTTGGGAACTGTTCCCGCCAGGGTTGTCGCTCGTGATGTCACGCACACCACTCGTCTACATGTGTACGACGAACTCAGTAGCGCATTGCTGTCGCGCTCATCGCTCAAGGCGTTAGGTTTCTTGCCGCCTAACTGGCCACAGATCGCTTCAGTTACACAAGGGACATCCCGTTCTGCAGAGCACAGCAACCCTTCACCAGACCAGCGTGTACGTATCCGCCAGGACCTCCTCGACGAGTTCGCTGACGTATTTGCAGAGGACACGCTCCGACCCATGGACGGTCAGCCGATGCACATCCAACTCGCGCCTGACGCCCAGCCGTTCAAGTTGAACAATGTCCGTTGGTTACCTTACGCCTATCGTGACCAGGTGAAACTCCAGCTGGACAAGATGGTCGCAGATGGCATCATCGCACCGGTCTCAGAGCCAACGGAGTGGTGTCACCCCATCGTCATAGCCGAAAAGAAAGGCACTGCAGAAGTCCGGATGACGGTGGATTTCACTAAGCTTAACAAGCAAGTCGCCCGGCCCGCGCATCCCATGCGCGCACCTCGCGATGTCGTTTCTAACCTTGGTAACGCCCAGTATTTTACCAAGCTGGATGCTCGCCACGGCTACTGGCAGGTCCCCTTGGACGAGGAGTCCAGAAGCTTGACCACATTCATCACACAGTGGGGCAGATATCAGTACCTGCGGAACCCACAAGGTCTGATTTCTGCTGGCGACGAATTCAACCAGCGGACCGATGCAGCATTCGCTGGTATTGAGCAATTCTCCAAGGTCGTGGATGACTGCCTGGTCTTCACTGATTCCTTTGAGCAGCACCTGGAACGAACTCGTGAAGTTCTTCAACGCGCTCGTCGGTATGGTATCACCCTGTCAGCCAAGAAGTTTGCTTTCGCCGAGACCGAGATCAATTTCTGCGGCTACGTGATAAACAAGTGTAGCGTATAGCGTATCCCCGTACGTTAGCATATCCCGTATGTTACTGTATTCCCGTACGTTAGCATATCCCCGTACTGTATTCCCATACGTTAGCGTATCCCCGTACATTAGCGTACGGAGTCTGCCTTTGTATTAAAGCTGCTGCTCACGATTCTTTTATTGCCAGTCAGTTAATTTAGTAGCCAGTTAGTTAATTTAGTAGCCAATCAGTTAATTTAGTTGCCAGTTAGTTAATTTCGTTGCCAGTACATTTCAATTGCCAGTTACAGTGTGTTCACTGAGACCCGTGTGCATTTGCCTCCGAGAGAGACTGCGGCCCGCTACAAATTGGTGGCAGCGGTGGTTAAAGTCAACTTTGTCAGATTCGACCCCACCTGTTTTACGCGCTACAAATTGGTGGCAGTGGTAAATTCATTTTGTTTCATTCTATACCGAACTTTGTTACTTTACACGTTCCCCAGACACCATGGCTCAACCCGCTACAGCTCCGTGCAACGAATCAAGATGAGAATCATGTTTCTTGCCTTCCTGGGCTTGGCTCTGCTTATTAGCCTGCAGCACAGTCAGGGCGCTAGCGTGGATCACCCTTCTCTCCGCACGGCCCACACTGGAGACTCCGATGGCGATTCCAAGCGACCCGCTACCTACATGTATACTACCGGTGGTGATGGCGAAGCTGATGAGAACGACGACATGCAGGCTGCTGACCAAGACAAGGAGGGTCTTCCCCAAGACCGGCAGCGTTTGATTTTCGCCGGCACGCAGTTGGCAGACGGCCGAACCCTGAGTGACTACAACGTTCAGAGTCCACTATTCACTTGGCACTTCGTCTCCGTGGTGGGATGCAGATTTTCGTCAACACTCTTCCTGGCTAGACCATCACTCTTTACGTCGCGCAAAGCGATGCTATCGACAATGTGAAGACCACGATTCAAGACGAGGAGGGAGCGATCTGCCTGACGCCGAGCTAGCCTCTCTGAGTGACCGGCTCAATCAAGATGAAGATAAACCTGGCTCGCCCTCCGCCATAGCTCCAGCCGCCGCCGTGGTTACTTACGCTGATTCCAGGTATGGCATTTTCTTTCCTGTCTTCCTTCAGTCTTCCTATTCTCTTCAGTCTTCCTTTATGCGAGTGTGTGAATCCAGTTTAGTTTGGTAGACGTCCGATCATGGTGAGCCACGGTCTACCCAGCTAACGTGGGACAATGTGTGTGACAATGCCCCTTATAGTGAATAGTGATAATTATAATAGTATTGTGTATTCAGTTCGGTTTTTGAACTGCGATGTTCCTGGCGGGTTGTGCCAGCGTTGTACAGCAAGTGTGCTGTGGTTCTTCAGGTCCTTTTTGGCGGACAGTTCTTTCCCCTTTTGACCCCGGCCCGTGAGATCGTGTGAACCTGGTGTGCTTCTCTTTTATGATTTGTTTATAAGTTCATTCTTCTGTCTATTCCAAACGTTATCATTTCCGATATTATTTGCCATACTCCGGTTGACGCTCTCCCAGTAATTCGCGATCTACTATAATGTTCACGACTCCATACCTGTATTATATTGTTCAAGTCATCCATCCATTCTGCCTATCTCTTATCGTCGAGTGTATTCCGACGCGACCATGCATACCGCCAGTTTTTTAAATAACAGCCAGTTGTTGGTGTCCAGCTATCACCAAGTATTCGAATCACGAGGACGTGATTGTATTTGAGAGGGGAGGTGTAGCGTATAGCGTATCCCCGTACGTTAGCATATCCCGTATGTTACTGTATTCCCGTACGTTAGCATATCCCCGTACTGTATTCCCATACGTTAGCGTATCCCCGTACATTAGCGTACGGAGTCTGCCTTTGTATTAAAGCTGCTGCTCACGATTCTTTTATTGCCAGTCAGTTAATTTAGTAGCCAGTTAGTTAATTTAGTAGCCAATCAGTTAATTTAGTTGCCAGTTAGTTAATTTCGTTGCCAGTACATTTCAATTGCCAGTTACAGTGTGTTCACTGAGACCCGTGTGCATTTGCCTCCGAGAGAGACTGCGGCCCGCTACACAAGTCCGGCTGGAAGACAGACCAGGAAAAGACCCGCGCTATCACCGACTTCGAGATCCCTGCCAATCG